ATACATACATACATACATACATACATACATACATACATACATACATACATACATACATACATATATGCATGCATACATGCACCCTTTTTGGTAAATGGAGTGATAAAACACTTCAGTGACATTTTATTTCCTTCAGAGTGCCACCAGACCTGTCTGAGCTGCACTGGCCCTGATCCAAACCAGTGCACCCAATGTGAGAAGGGGCTTGTGCTGGATCCAAACACGCTGCTGTGCGGCGTGACGGGCGACACAGCTTGCCCACTGAGAACCTTCTTACATCATGACCAGTTCAGCTGCGTGAGCTGTCACCAGTCCTGTCACTCCTGTAACGGGCCAGACAACAGTGACTGTCTGACCTGCACCATCCCCAGATACCTTCACAGTGAGTACATGTTTAGGTGTACATGCCAAAATGAACAGAAAGGTGGTTATCACCAGTTGTCTTGCTCGTATTAGTCCTTATATTGAATGAATATTTGAGGTATTAAGTCTGGTGTTTATTTAGAAATGTTCCTTGATGTTTGAAACTTAGTGGTTTTAGCTAGAAATATAAACTTAGAACTAGCACAATATGTTTGGTCCTTTTTTATGTTTTTATTCAACAAAATTGATGCTAGTGTTTGGCAAAATTTAAAATGTAGTGAGTGAAAAACTAAGAATAAATGAAATAGTTTGTGTTGCAGAAATATTTAACGAAAACAGAAATACGTGATCCAAAGGATAAGGCACTTTGCAGAATGGAGTGTGTTTATTGTAATTGCAAGACACAAAGTGTAACACAGAGCTGTGCAGCCCTGTGTTAGAAACATTTGTGTCGAGGCAGTTCATGAAACCTCATACACCTCTGGAATTTGCATGTCGGACAACAAACAACAACATTCCTTTTGATAATTCCTTTTCATGTTGGCCAAGGAGAGCGTACCACTTGATGAACTGTTACACCAAGAAAGATTATGTCTCCTTCTGATCATGAAACATTTTATCTAACAGAAGCAGTGGAGCCATAAAATGGTGACAAAGAGAAAGAAGAATATGAAGGAGAAGATGTAATTTAATTTTCAATGACAATTTGATCTTCTCTTTGTGTACTTTTAACACACTGCCACTGAACATCTTGCCACTATTTATAAATCCCCTACATGTTGGATTCATGGTTTTGTGTGTTTAAAGACAACTTTGAAAAAGAAAAAAAATTCACAACCCATCTTCAGTACAATGCCTCTACAACTCCATCATTGAAGACCTTTGCTCTAGAATATTTAAGGAGTTCATCGTCATCTCTGCAAGGTGCTTCTTGAGGTTCCAAAACAAGCCCCAACCATAACCCCTCCACTACCGTGTCTCACAGTTCATGTGGAGGTTGTGTTGATGTGCTGTGCTTGGTTACCACTAAATATGGTTCGTGTGTCTTTTAGCCAAATAGCTCCACTTTGGTTTTGGTCATTGTTTTAGAAACATAGCAACTTGGAAAACCAAAGAGGTGCTAAAACATTTTATTTTGAAAGTAGTCAAAAACTGTGGTTTAAACTGCTGACGCTTAACTAAATAAATTAAAAGTACAGTGCGCAAGTCAAGATCTGACGACGCAAGAAAAAAGTAGTAAGTTAGGCAAATTTGTGAGCTGAAATGGTATGTGAAGTAAATTTGTGTGTATCTTCCAGACAGCTCCTGTGTGACTGAATGTCCTGCTGGTTCATACACCACCAGACAGGAAGCTGATGGACAGCAGCTGGGGTTCTGTTTGCCCTGCGACCATGTCTGCTCCACTTGCACCGGGCCGTCACCTCGAGACTGCCTGACGTGTTCTCCGGGGTACCTGCGACTCTTTCAGCTCTGTGTCATCCACTGTCCCACCGGGTAAAAAAAAAAMCATCAGCGTCTTACAGAACTTTTACTTTACTGCTGAGCTTTTTCAAAACTGTAATTCTCAGTTATATACTGTCAGTGTTGTATAAAGTACTGCAAAGCAATACTTGAGTGAAAGTATGAGTATCTTACTATAAATTACTTTGGTAAAAGTTCAAGTGTTTTCCAAGAATATTACTTGAGTAAAGTATCTGGTATTTACTGTACTTAAGTATCAAAAGTAAATTTCTGATATAAAATGCACTTAAGTCAATCCATCCATCCATCCATCCATCCATCCATCCATCCATCCATCCATCCATCCATCCATCCATCCATCCACTCAAGTAAAGTACAGCTAAAAAATTGATTGAAATTTTCTACTTAAATACAGTATTTGTACTTTGTTATTTTACACTGTACACTGTGTGTAGCATAATGAATAAAGAATTTTTTGGTGAGATAAGGCTAAAATGATTGATCATTTTACGTGTTTCTTCAGGTATTACAGAGAGGGTTTTCACTGTAAGAAATGCGATAAGTCCTGTGAGGTGTGTTCAGGACCGGGTCCAGAGTTCTGCAGAGCTTGTCCTCCTCCTCTCCTGGAGCTGCAGGGAACCAAGCTGTGTGTGGAGCGCTGCCCACACCGCTTCTTTCAGGTTGATGAAATGTGCAAACAGTGCCATACCAGCTGTCAGACGTGCACAGGTAGAAAATATATGTCTCTCTCTCTTTTTTTTTTTTTCTGTTTGTTCCTCTTCTACTGATTATTAGGCTGTATTGTTTAAGCGTCAACATTTGACATTTAGTTTGGAGTTTTGGAAATGCTGTCAGATCATGCGTATTCATCCGTGTTTACAGACTCTTCACCTCAAGGATGTGTGACGTGCGACTGGGGTAGCACACTGAAGGACAACATCTGCTACCCAMGATGTGAGGAGGGGCGGTACTTTTCTCATGAGGTGTGCTTTTATTCATCTGTGGACATAAACCCTTTGGAGTATTCTGCTTTTTAAAAATAACATCCCTAGAATTCAGATGAGAAATCATTGACTTTGTCAGTCATTGATAAAATGGAACTTTTTTTTTAACTGGGAGAAGACAATTAATTAGCAAGTGAACTTCTAGGAATAAGTTAAATGTGAAATTATAGGTCTGGWAATGTCATCCAAATCAACCTAAAAACCTAAAATGCTTCCTCAGAAGGAAACTCTTCCTTCCATCAAACATGGTGGCTTGTTACTTTCATATTTAATCTACAGTTTAGGTTTGTTTTGACACTAATCGACATTCAATTTTTTTTGTTATGTATTTTGCACAAAGAACAGTTGCAGAACAACAGTTCTGTGTATTGGCAAGAATTTGGTAATATGATACGCATCACGACATGGGTCACAATATGATATATCTCGATATATTGCCATTTTTTTCTCCAAAGAATTTGAGCAAGGATTCTACTCTCAGGCTCCTCAGGAGTGGAGAGCCAAATGTAGAACTTCTGGCATGRAAGTTTACATTTTAAGCCTTAAATACAAATTGATACAGGGCTTTTTAGAATTTATACAATATCAGGGAATGAAATATTGCAATATTTCAGTGTAAGAATATTTTCTTACACTTTTATAGAAAAATAGATTAATTAAGAAGAGATATATAAATTTGAAATGATTTCCATGTGAGGAACACATTGGTGGGTAATAATAAAAGAAAACTCAAAGGTAATTAAGCATGTATTAAATGATCCTTGTTTTTTGTTTTTCACAGGCAGTAAATGAAGCTCTCTTTCTTCTCCCTTCTGTATGTACAATGTAATGATGCGTGCCACTGTTCATTTGTAGGAAACCTGCGAGCCCTGTGACAGCTCCTGCAGGCACTGCACCGGACCAAGRCCCGACCAGTGTCTGCTTTGTCACAGAGATTTTGCTCTCCATGCCGTTGAGAACCGTTGTGCTCGCTGCTGTCAGAACGCAGAGAATTACACCGATTGCTGTGTTTGTGACAGCCGCTCAGGTAGAGATGCTACATTTCAAAAGCAACTTTTTTTTAGATAGAACTTTACTAAAAACATTATTTTTTTATTATTATTTTAGCACTGTGTGTGGAGATACCCCAGCCCAGGTCTGGAGATRAGGAGGAGGAGGCAGACATGAATGTGTCCTCCACAGCTTTGAAGCACACCTCAGCTGCCTTGCCCATTGCCCTGCTGCTGGCAGCGGGGCTGGGCCTGGCTGTGTTTGCCTTGATCAAAGCCCACGCCAGAAGGAGGCTTTGCTGGAACCGGAGCTACGAGAGACTGAGCGGCAGCGGCAGCCTCAACATGCCCCATGGTGTGCCGGAGCCAGACAGCGGGGATGAAGTCGATGTGGTGTACACATCCAGGGGCGGATCAGTGTACCGACGTTACAGCTTCATCCACGAGCAGGACACAGATGCGGACAGAAACACGGATGAAAACACGAGTCTCGATCAGTCTTAGATGCATTCACATCAAAGTGTACTAAAAACTGTAGGGTGCCAAGTGTAACATAATATGTTTAAAAAATGTCACGTTTTATTTAGCTCACAGTGTAATAATCAAGTAAAAAAATCCACCAACATTTTATTGTTATTTAGCTCACGGCTCGTTATGACATCATCATCCTGTGACAAAAGCAACGGCTAACGCTGCTAGCGCTATTGAAGATGGTATTTAAAATTTAAATTCAAAATGTGGATGGCACCTGTGGTCCAGCAGTTTGAAGTGCAGTTCGTGTACAGGCTGCAGCTGCAACTTTGATGTCTTGTAGGGAGGCGTTAGCAGTTGCTTTTGTCGCAGGGTGATGACGAGCCAAGTGCCAACGGCAAAGGCTGCCTCCCATTCCAAAAAATATTTAGCCAAAACTTTTACAATTTAACTTCTACATTAAGATTTATGATTTTATATTTACATGTTTTTTAAACATTTAGTAAATATCAGCTAAATGTAAGAACAGTTAGCTAAGTAACAAAAAAGTGGGTTTTCTTTCTAAGATTTTATACTGAGAAAATGCTCTAAATAATGAACATGTGCTGAAGACATTTTTTAACATTTTATTTTACGCTTAGCGCTCAATTAAAGAAGAAGTATTCATGTTCATAATGGAAGCTGACAGAAAATGTCGCTTAGGTGATGTTTAGACAAACAGAAAATGATATTTTATTAGCAATCTGCCAATCAGTCACTACCCTCACATGGGCAATGGCTGATTGCTCACAGCTGCAGCCTGCCTCGCCCCTCATTAGCACTGCTTTATATAACGCTCCTCCAGTCTTCTGTTCCTCGCTGCATCAAAGCACCTCCTACTGGGTCTGATTCTGGCCTCTGATAAACATTATGTACCTGAAAGTTAAAATCAAAAAGAAAAAATAAGTAGATCCTCTAGATGGGTTCTTCTTTAGTGAAACGTTTCGTCTCTCCTCCAAGAGACTTCTTCAGTCTGAGGAGTTTCAGGTGAAACTCAGCCTTATAAGCCCTGAAAGTTATTCATCTCTTTGTGTGACTATCTTCAGTCTTTTCCCTGTGGTCCCTTGAAGACCGCGCTGGGGTCCTGTTTCCTGAAGTGTTTGCACTTACCTGGTTCCCTTGGCATCCTGTGATCGACACATCTGTCCACACTTACCTGAACTCCTGGATCCCTCCTCATCTGCTCCTGGGAAATCACCTGTAAATGTACTCACCTGGGTTCCAATATCCTCACTTGTAAATGTACTCCCCTGGGCCCAAAGATCTGGATCTCTCATCCGGATTCCTGCCTCCCTGAAAAACGGGTCCTACCTGCTGCTCAGCCTCATCCCTGCGAAACATTCCAGTAAGCATCTTCCTGTTCCTGGACTTACTCTCTGCCTTCACCTCCACAGCCATTGGACCAGATCCTCTCCTGGAAGTTTAATAAAATATATTTTATTCTGGTTTCCTGAGTCATCTGTTCACCTCTCTTGTTAAAATACTGACATGACTCCTGAGTTTCTGACAATTTTGTTTTGGTATTCTTAAAATTGTTTAAGACTGWGTTATCCATTTTTATTCTACAAAGTGCCTGTATATGCCAAATATACACTATTAGATGAAGGTGTGAGCAATAATGAATGTGTTTAGATAAGCAAGTGAGAAATGACTTTCTCTAAGAGGAAAAAGTGGGAGCACATTTGTATATTACACACTGTTTAATAAAGGTGTGAGTGAAGGTGGCCATGTTTAGAAAAGTGACTGATAAATGACTGCACTGTTTGAAAAATGTGTGCGCAATAAAAAACTGCTTATACTGTATTTGTATAAATGTATTTTTTTTTAGAAAAAACTTTTTGTTAAACTAAGAACAGGTCTGAACTGTCAGCATGGTTTATTGTAAATCGTTAAAATAAAAAAAAACTTTTGAAATTGATTTAAAGCTTTAAATTTTATTTATTGTTTATTTGAATAGGGACAAGTGTCAAGTATGAATAATACACTACAACATTTATAGCCAGAGCTAATTTGCAATGCCCGTCCCTAGATGGGCTTTTAGCAACATGAACTAAAAGCATAAAAATACAGTTAATAAAAACATCACAATTTTAAAGCTCACTAAACTCATAAAACCAACTTAAAAACAAATCATTAAAAAGCGACAGTTCAATTATTTATGACTGGTTTTCCTTYAGGAAGTTCTAAACTAAAATGGTTCCAGTCAGACCAGTTTTAAATCAGTAGGTAGGGAATTAAAAAAAACTCTCAGACTGAAGAAGTCTCTTGGAAGAGAGACGAAACGTTTCATTAAAGAAGAACCCGTCCAGAAGACCTATACAATTTTTTTCTTTTTGATTTTTTACCTGGATTACTGAGATGCATCAGGACATAGGTAGGGAATTCCACATGTAAATCTCTCTAGYAGAAAAAGCTGTTTGACCCATTGCCGTTTTAAAAAAAGGAACTTYACAGTTCCCACTGTTTGCTCCACGAGYTAATGAGCCTGTAGACCTAAGAGGAACCAAAAGCTCACTAAGCACTTGAGGAGCCTGTCCATTCAAACATTTAATAACAAGTTCTAAGTTAAAAAATTTAACAAAGTTTTCAAAATTCATCATGTTAAGTTTTTAAAGAAAATGACAATGATGATGGGCTTCCTGTCCAAGATCTTAACTGCTCTGTTGCAAATCATTGTATTTGAAATAATAGTAATAAATTTATTTCAAATGTCTTTCAAAAACACTAAAGGATGTCTTGTAAAACAAATGGCAAAAAAATTAGTTGAAATAGGCAAGCAGATGAGAATGAGGGGAAATGCAAACATAAACTTTGACTAAGAAATGAGTTATTAGTGAGGTTTTAAATGTAGACAAACATCCTATTGTTCAGTAGTCTAAATATATAAACAAATGATCTGGGCTGAGTCAAAGCTTACAGGAAGTCACACAGAAGACCCTCCTGTCAGTTTGACACACCTCTAAATATGAGTGATTCACTTCTCTTAATAGGATCGAGTGCTGCTGCCTCTCTCACAAACATTAAGCTGCAGCCACAACAGCACTAGCAATATCAAGCAAGGAAGATGTCTTGCGCAGACTTTCTGAGGACAAAAACACTGATGAGCTTTGTCCTACTTGTCTTTTTGGGGATGGTTTTTTTTTTTTTCAGTTTTTTGGTACACTAGATTTGAGAGTGTCACTTTTTTCAAACATCAAATATCCWCACAGTTCTCTGAAGATCGGCCTGGCTGCTTGAAAAACGACCTAGAAGCTCTTCTAGCACCCAGAAGAAAAAGACTTTGAGGACTTTTACATCAWCGCCACAAAGGACTGTCCAGCTTACATTGAGAAGAGGGGATTCTTTACAGAACCTCTGAGTGAGGAGGAGAAAAACTTCCCTCTCTATGGTGATCCATGAGAAGATCGAGATGTTTGAGCGACTCCTGCGATCCATTTACACTCCTCAGAGCATTTACTGCCAACATGTGGATCAGAAATCTCCTGTGGATTTTCACTGGGCTGTGAAGTCTATAGTGTCCTGCTTTCCCAATGTATTCATAGCCAGTAAATTAGAAAATGTCACATAGGCTGTTTGGTCCAGAGTCCAGGCACATTTGAACTGTATGGATCTGCTGAACTCTTCTGTCCAGTGGAAATATCTGATTAACACCTGTGGGAGCGACTTTCCCATCAAAACAAAATGAAGAAGAAGAAGAGTCCACCGCTCATCAACGTCCCCGTATTCCAAGGAAGTAYTTTGTGTTCGCAAGGGTCTTTGTGAAACATCTGATAGAGGGCAGGAACAAAGATGTGCAGGAATTTACAGAGCGGAAAGACATTTTTGTCCCTGATGAAAACTTCTGGGCCACCCTACAGAGGATTCCTTCTGTTCCTTTGTTCGTGCCTGCCAACTCCTTGTACGATGTGTCAGATATGATCGCTCTTGTCAGAGTGGTGATGTGGTCCTTTTTAGCAGGAGACCCCTACTACCACTGCACAGGGACGTATAGAAGAGTTTGTGTGTATGGATCTGGCGACCTCCCGTCCTTAAACAACACCAGCTGTTTGCAAATAAGTTTGATCCTGAAGTGGACGACATCGCCATCAGGTGTATAGAATCAATATTGCATTTCAGAGCTTGATGCAAATCTATAAGAAATAAATGAATAGATTTTGCTTAAATAAAAGTTTAAAATGTTGAGTTCAATGTATCTGAATAACAGAACCTAACGTTTATTCATAATTTTTAAAATAATACAAGTTGTCAAAAATAACAAAGCCAAAGTGCTGATTCATAGCTTTACTGGAAAGAAAGAATGACAATATATTTTGGACTAATTGTTTCAGACTGCTTTTACAAACTCAATAAGCAGGCAAATTCATGAAGGGCAAAAGAAAAATAAAATCTTTTTTCCCAACAAATTCTGATTTTTAACAACAAATTGGCAATAAACAGTGAAAAAAAGTGCTGTCAAAATTTTCCATAAAAATGCCACGCAGTGAGTCAGAGAACTAAGACGTAGTTTAAAAATCAGACCATAAAAATATATTAATTTCTCTCCATTGTCACCTTTTGAATATAAATATATATTTAAACGCAATAGGGCAGAACATGCATCAACCACTTGTAACAGAGTGCGTTAAATAAAGTGTACATACAACAGTAAAAATGGTGCATCAATGAGCCCAGTCTGACATTTTATACAAAGATTTGAAACAGCATGTGGACAAAATGCTGAAGGATTAAACTGCTCGACAAAAAGACAAAAAAAGAGTTTGATAATGTAACAGACAGCATTGATTCAAAAAAGGCACTTTCCTGATGCAGCAATTTTCTGTCACATCAAACAGAGCAGAAACATACGGGCGACACGTGTTTGAGACAATCTCCTCGTCATCGTGCAGGAGGAGGCGGGGAGGGGGAGCGCTTCACTCCGGAACAGCAGCAGCAACCGTCTCCACTTTCCGGTGCATATCCTGGTCGATTCTGCAGACAGTTAAAAGTCATGGGATGGCACCTGTCAGATCAGTTTAYTACACTGGCCACAAACATCCTGAAATGTGATCAGCATCCTCACAAAAGTTGACTAAATGTATTCTTTAGGGAGGACAAGTTTTCTGTACACAATGAAAACAGAAAAAAGGTCAACACCTTGACGATTTTTTTAAACTATTTGTTCCCTTTAAAATCTGATTTCATTATCTGCAACTTGCAACACTGGAAATAACTTATAGAAGTGTCTGAGTGTGTACAGCTTTAAGACTTCTGTTCTGGAGTTTGTTCCTATTATATGATAAGACATCAGATATTACTTGAAAAGGCAACTCTTAGGTCAATTACAATCATCATTCTTCAAGTGAATAAACTGTTTTATCTAAAATCAGCATGCTTCTGCGTGCATGTGCAAAGCTGACAAACGGTCTCTGGCAGTTACCAAACATCTGTGGGGAGCGGGTGTGCAGAGAGTCGTGCAAAGAGATGTGAGAGTGAGCAAGCCGAGTGTTCGGTGAAGGTCAGTTACTGAGGACGTGGTTAATGTGCAACAATGCAACCACACACAAACACACACGCCACTGTGACAAGGACAAGCTGCTTCCTTTAGGTTAGCAGCCGTTTACAAACACAAATAATTTAAAGATCAGGCTCATTAAACTCTAAAGCTGTTACATTTGCGGGAAAGTAAGCGTGAGGACTTACACAATCAGCTTCCTCTAAACTATTTTAACTCGTTGATTCTAAGCTGGGTGACGGCTAACATCACCAGGAAGAAAGACCCAAACATGAAATCTAAAGGTTTAAAATGTGTCTGATCGTTTTGAGTTATAAAACATGGCTCAGACAAAAATATAGCTGATTAAAACACCAAGTCACCTATTTTAGTAAACAAACAGATTATTTGGAATTTAAATCCTAAATCAATTGGGAAACAAACATTATTAAGTTGCTCATTTTAGCCGTTAACTAGCAGGAAATGACTCAACTTAAATTCATTTACCATAGGTGACTTGGTGAATTTCTGTAAGYCAACTAATCATTTCATTGTTAGTTTTTAATAAAATGCAAAGATGCACAGCTTGAACCTTAGTGAAAGTGCATATACCTGTCATGGCTTTTCCTATTTTTTTCAGCATCAAACCTTAAGACGGAGAGGGCAGGAAAAYGGGTTTAAGCAGAGAAAAACTCCACAGCCAACAAGAAAAACAAATCAAAAMCAAGCAGAACATCTTCCTGAGATTTACTGGGTCGTGATGTATTTTTGTGAGAAGGTCTGCAGAGCGGTTGGATGTTTGATGCTTTCTCCTTCTTTCCTTAAGTCTATTGTGATTATCTACAACTGAAAGGTTTTGCAGTATTTGCTCATTATCGATTGTCATTTCTCTAGAATAGTGCGTGTTTTAATGGTTTCACTGACCAGCACAGCTGTTTTTAATGAATGGGTGATTAGCAGGCCTCTGCAGAACTTGAAGAGGTAATTCARTCATTGAATCAGGTTTGTTGGAGCAGAGAAACCTCTAAAACATGMAGGATATAAACCCATGAGAATGAGAATTTAGGACCACTACACTATAATTACGAAACTTCAGGATTTTTTTAACTTGACTCCTAACTTTGCTTTTACGGAGTGTAAATTATTTTAAAAAAAAAACTGATCACAAACACTATAAGTGGTTACAGTTAACTGGCTGCTGAGAAAGACAATCAATGTGGAAAAATATTTTTACAAGACCAAAGAATTGAAATTCCCTCAGATGCAAGCAGAGGACACAGCTCAGGCTGTGACTTCAGCTCACAGAGTTCTTCCCATCAATACAGTCATACAGCGATTTAAAAACACAGCTGATGTTACCGGCATACTTACTGTTTGATACAATCGGGTATGGAAACATACTCCATTGGAACAAGTTCTGCAAGGTCTGTCAAGCTGTACACATACTTGATTTTCTGACTAAATTTGGAGCTGTAAAAATAACAGGAAGACCTAATTATTATCAAAAGAAAAATAAAGTTACTGCGTGTATCATTATTGAAAAGCTTTAAACATTTTAGATACCTTATGAAAGGTTTTGTCAGTGCCAAGAGGGTGCGAATAAACCAAGAAGGGTGCACAATTATCAGTGATTTTAGGTTCTTCCGTAACCTGTGCAAAAAGAATGTGAAGGAAATAAACAATTTCATTAAAAGGTGATTAAAAACCTCAAAGAGCTTAAGTGAAAAAACTGTACTTGTTTTGGGAGTTGTGGTTTTRACTCACCTCCTGTCAATCTGCTGATAGCACTTTCTGAGCCAGCCGACGGTTGGCATCTTCTTCCGAGAAGTCGCTCCGTTTAAATAAACAATCATATAATTCTCAGCGACCAGTAGTTCCAGGGTGCCGATCACATACCTGAAACAGGAAGCCCTCGTTAGCGTTGGCTCTAAAACGAATGCTCAAAGGGCAAACAGTTCAAAGACTCACTTGAATAAATTGTCCATGATGTATCTGTAATTTGGCTGACCGCTCTCAGGCATAAAGCACACAGCAAATACAATTATGGCATTTAAACCATCTCCATAGTAACCTGGAGAGAAGAATACAAACATTAAAAAAAAAGTTATGAGCATCTAAATGTTTCTCCCCTTTCAGTGCAAAACTATCATCAGTGGTGGGCACAATTAACMAAAARGTTATCTTCATTAACCACAAGGAATCTTAGCACTGGTAACTCTATAAACGGCTAAATGTGTTGGCTATATTTAGCAGAAGCTAATGCTAACCACTATAACGACTGGTGGGACTGACACAAGCATGTTGTTAATTTTCTATTGGTTTAATTTGAAGGTGGGTGGGGTCAYTTGTGGCAAACTGGCCAATCCAAACCAGTTATAGCTCTGTCTAACTTATGATAATTCCAGTTTAACCCTTTCAGAATAAAAGTACTTCTTTGATCGAGTTTGTATATTTATAAATACTGTTCGAAGTTAGTCAAACAAATGGCAAATACTTTCTCTACCATACTTTATAGGCAGTCAATTTTTTATTCATTATTTTAATATTGTTAGATATTATTGTTTTGCTTTTTGACAATCTTAGGTCGAAAGTCTAGCTGCTAAAGATGCTACATGCTGCACATGTGGTGTCTGACACATCCAGCATTGCTTGTAAGAGCGGATAGTGATTACTGAATTCAAGATAAACAGCATAAAAACAGAAGTTGTACACATTTTTAATGGTCTTAACATTAGCATTAGCTGAACTAATTTAGCTGAAGCTAATCTGTCCACTAACGCAGTGATCTTCAACCCTGTTCCTTGTGACCCTATGTTCTGCATGTTTTAGCTGTTTATTTGCTTCGGCACACCTGATTCAAATAAATAAATTACCTACTCAGAATGTCATCAAGTTTAGCATTTTCATTTTTTTAAATTAAAAAAAAAGTTTAGCATCTTCAGATAGGTGTGTTAAAGCAGGGAAACAGCTAAAACATGCAGGAAAGTGGGTCACGAGGAACAGGGTTGAAGACCTCTGCTCCAAAGTTAGCAAAAAAGCTAATCCGCTAAAAGTGAAGCTAGTTCCACTCCAAGCAGAGATTAATGGAACTGTTCCCATTGCTGTATATCCTGTATAAAAACAGAAATATACATCATGTTTACCTCATAAATGGAAAAAATAAACAACTTTGTTGCACTTACCGCCATGGCTGATAACTTTCTTGTAGGGTTCAATAGCCTTCATATCAACTTTGTGATCCTGGTCTCCAACTCGGAAGAGCCTCCACCGTCGCCCCTCTTCTCGCTCCTCTGATGCTGAATATTCCTGAACTGTCTCCACGTCTTTCCGTAGCAGTTCCGTGGGTTTCGGTTTAGGAAGATCATCTAAGGAATATAAAGCCAACAAGCTTTATTATCACAGTACTTAGGTGTGATCTAAAACTGATCAAGTTTTTAAAAAAGAAAATTTTATGATCATATATTCACTTTTCATTCAAGTGCACCAAATTTATTGGTTTAATTATTTTGCATCTTGACCGCATGGTTTTTTCCTCCAATTAAACATCAGTGATTATGTCTCCACTTCAATTTCCCATTTTTATTTATTTATTTATTTGTTGCAGAAAGGAAAAAAAACTTCTGCAATGTAAACCTGTTGTTTCATAATATACTGTAAACATTTTCAAAGGTGTGTCAAGCATTTCCATTCACAGCAATACATCATTCAAGAGATCCCCAGTAATTTCTGTGCATCTTTTACAAATTTTAAGCTGCATCAAATAAAGTACTGAAATCATCACGTATTTAAAAGCATGCACGAGCAGAATCAAAAAAGAGAAAGCGAATCACACTGACACTTTTGGATAGTTTTGAGGACAATGCTGAATACAAGATAATTTATTTTCTAAAATCCCACTGCTTTTCAAATACCAACTCCTCATTTCTTGAGTATCTACAGATAAATCTAAACATCATTCAATAAAATATGGGATAAATTATGTTGCCCTGTTGTCCCTCTTTTTTCTTGACCATGCTGAGCAATTGCAAGACTAGAGTAGTTTACTTTGCAATATAAAGTATTAAAAAACATACAGTATAATCATTAAAAAGCTAATTTTAGGATAATAAGGTGCTATCTTTTCCTCATACAAAGGCAAATTTGAAAAAAGGGGAAAAATGCTGAAGCAAAGTGAAAATGAAAGTGAGTAAAACATGGAGGGGGAGGCATTTGTTTGAACAATTGAACACATGATTAGGACAACAGGAACTGATTGACTTGTGTTTTGTGAGAAAATAAATAAATAAATATATGGAAGAATCTCGCCCAGGAGCCCTTACCACACGAAAGAGAGAAACCTGTTGCTGGCCTGCAGCCTGTTTCCAGGCAGACATGGGAAACATATCTTCCAAGTCAAAAAGAGGAAGAGGTGGCAAASAGAAAACACAAAAACAACAAAGCACATTTAACAATAGTTGAGGCAGTAAGCTGCCAGAGCAAACCTGTACAAGAAAACCTCTATCGATGTAAGAACCAATGTAAACAGAGTAAGAGTTTTTGAAAAATTTTTTAAACATGGAATTAACAACTTTCACTGGAAATGTAAACTGTAACACATTTAATAGAGTAYCAAACCCWGTATTGAWATTGGTTCTGAGTATCGGGGCATTGGGACACTACTATAAATGAATGTTTTAATATGTTGTGTTGCCAAAAAAACAAAGGGGATTGAATGCTGCAGTTAGTGTTAAAGCAGAATTGTCCCAGGACAACAATCCCTTACCTTCCCATTCAAACTCATTACTGTTGTCAGACGGTGTGTCTATTCCATCGAGGTCCAGTTCTGTGCTTTCCTCCAACTCATCAGAGAGAACAGAACCTTCACTACGGTCCAGTGTTAGGCTGATGTCTGGAGCTAAAAGTTTTTTCTTAGTCCTCTTGCCTTGATTCACTGCATAGCCTAAGATAGAGAGCAAAGAATAATGGTGAGTTTACCTTTTTTTTGTCAATGATACCACTATATTTTTATTTGTATTTAACCTTTATTTGCCTAGACAAATYCCTTTGAGATCACAGATSTCATTTTCATCAGAGGCCTGGCCCTGAAAGAAGCCTAAACATACATGCTGTTTGCGTATGCAAAAATGTTTAGCAAACTTAWAGGTTCAGTAAGAGCACCGTTACACATTAAACATCTTTTCATTGTTTCCCCCTTTATTATTTGCTCAGGACAAAACAATCTTAACATAATGACTGATCCAACTCACAGTGTTGAGTTCTCACCTAAATGTCAGAATGTGCAAACAAGAATRAACAATCATTCCTAACATGAGCTCATGTAAGATTCAAGATTAAGATGAAAATATACTATGATATTAAAATTTTAAAGGTTTTGTAGAAATCTACAACATGATATTGTGTTTTAATTACCAGGGTCTGTCTCTTCAGAGGTTCCAGCGAAAAGCTTGTCTTCCAGCTCCTCTTCCTCTGGGAGAGGCCTAAYGATTCATCAGAAATAATACTGGCTTTAACAACACAAAACACGTGACACAAAGTGATGTTTCTGATGTCCGTGTGTTTGACGATACCGTGGAAAGTCTTCATCTTGCCACTCTTCCTTAAGTTCAACACCTTCCATCCTTAACCGTGCCTCTGTCGTGGCGACTGACTCTTGGCGCTCCAGACTGGGTCGGGGAGAGGGAAACCAGTTTGACTTTTTGTACTTCACAGTCTTACTGATTCTAACGGTTTTACTGCTAATTATATTGGGATCCAGRGCATAGGCTGAAGACAATCTGTGAAATCTGCCTGTTCATGTCATTTTGTGGAGTTCACACAGGATTAGACAAAACCTTAAAAGTTCAGCAAGCAAAATGACAAGGCGACATTTGTTTTTTGGGTCAATACTTTAAAAGCTGTGATGGACTTGCGACCTGTCCAGGGTGTACCCTGCCCCTCGCACTGTGACTGCTGGAAATGGGCACCAGTGACCCACGCGACCCTGAAAAGGAAGAAGCGTGTACAGAAAATGGATGGATGGATGGATACTTTAAAAGAAAATATCATAAAACTATGTAACAAAACTGTATAAAAGAACTTTTTTTTGAACTACAGATTGGGATTTTTTTGTCATAAAAACGACATTTAACATAAAAATAAATTACATGAGAAAGAAACTACATCATAATACCTCTTGCTGCTAATCACAATGCATCACATTCAATGGCAAAGAATATACTCAGAAGTTACAGCTTGCAACTGGCTTTTTAAAGCTCTTACAAGCTGGTTCTAAAGCTATTGAGACTAATGCCGACCATCGTATCTGTGTCCCTGCTGCAACAAAGCCCCCTTTGATGCAGAAACACACAAACACACTGTATTTCTGTTTTCACATATAGACGTCCTTCAGCATTTCCGAACAAATCAGTTTAGCGGTTTGCTACACAGAAACTAATCTCGACATAACACTGGAAACCAGCTGCAACAGGAATGTGGATTCCTGAACAGGAAACACTGCAATCCAAAAGCACAGCCCAAGGAAACAGAAGCTGCTTTACCCACAAAGTCAACCTAAAAAGATGAGTTTCGACGAGCGTCACAATATTACCACAATCCACTGGTGGAAAGTTAACACAATCTGTGCTCTTTGTTTGTAACAGATATGGTGACGACGACACCTGTGGAATGTAAATTGTCCTACTTTTTTTTTCTGGTAAAATAAAAAGTCAGTTTTTGGACTACAATATGACTTCACTATTTAGTATCCCTAAAGTTGTCTTTAATTTTGCATGAATCATTCATGAG